TTGCTTCGTCTCATTTTGCTGTTGTACACATGGTTAGACAAATTTGTTACACGTCTATGACAATCCCAGAGTTGTGCCAATATGGCCGTGCCTCGGCTCAGCTGGGGGACCGAGAGGTTAATGAAACTGTTTTGCACATTTGCGAAGTCCCAGACTGTTTAAATGAAAAACCTTTGACAGTTTTTTTATTGCAAATCCGAATGCAATCATTGGCATTCATGGAAGCGAAAAACCTAGTTATGTTTTTTTGGTTTTTTTCTGATCGCGCTGAAGAGGAAGCAGCACAGAGCGTTCATTATTGAAACCTCTACATTGTGATATGTGGAGAATAAACCCTCGGTGATGCCATTTACAAATTAGGGGAGTCCGCTGTTTCAAAAGATTTTTTTTTCGCACAGAGATACTGTACTTTCTGGACTATAAGGTGCACCTGAATATAAGCCGCACCACATACATTTTTAACAAAAAGTACATTTTGTGCACACATTTTAAAGTTTTTAACAGCTTAACTATTTGTTTCCATGACTACTTCACCTTCATCTATTTTAACAATAAACAAGTGTCCTATAGCTATTAAAATTTGATGGAGACAAAATAGGTTCATAAACTCTGCTCTGTCAACTCTACCACAATAAAACATCACATATTAGACGCATCGCTATATACGCCGTAGGGTTAAAAGAACAAAAAAAAGTAGTGGCTTCTTGTCCGGAAATTATGGTAATTAACACAAGGACTCCCAGAAGTGTGAAACTACTAGAATTTCAAATCAATAGCATTTTAAAAAGTTTGTAAGTTTACCATCCGTTTTATTCAATTGTACCTTTACTCACTTTTAATAAGTGCGAAAACTGGTGAATGCAAATTTAAATACAGAAAAAACAGTTTGTTGAAAGGCTAATGCTAACTGGTAGCAAGTTAACAGTATGTTGCTATGGTTACTAGCGTTTGCTCTTCTCAACTTCTCTACTTCATTTCAAAATTTAAATTGTTCTTTGAGGCTCTGGGGGTTTGAGCTTTCGGCTACAGGCTCTTTCAAACTTCAGTTATGTACATAAATAGCTCTGTGTGTTTTCAAGCATCTACTGCGTCATTGCATTTGTACTGGCGTTATAAATGTCAACCTGTGTGTCATGACGTGAACCACAGGGGGCGATAGCGAGTAGGCTTTCAATACCTAGCGAGAGACTGCACGACAAAAGATAGTGACAAAAGATTATGATAAAAAAATGGGAACAAAGTGAACGACACACGGATGCACAGGGCAGATCCATTGGCTTCGAGGAGGGCAGAGGGAGCACTTTGAGGCGCCCAGATAAAGTGCTTTGAGGCGAGAGATGTGGACAAAGTGCCGGGTCGTGGGAAGCTTGGGGAAAAGTGCCTTCAACACTCAACTGATGTACTGCACCATTACAATGACTCCAGCTCCATGGAGACACATCCAGAGACAGATAGATTTGCGAACACGACAAACAGAAGCCTCCACTTGTATCGGTTTGCATTTGGTATGTGGAGTATGGATGAGCCTTAAAACGTTTAGCTCAGGAAAAATGTAATAAACAAATGCAGAGAAGAACAACAATAATCGCCTCAGAGAGATTTTATGGTGCTGTCCTACACTCCAACGACCTAACAAGTGATATGTGCGTAAATATTACTAGCTGGAGGTGGTGCTTCATTGGCAAGATTGAATGGAAATGGAAAGCTAAGAATTTTACTTTTGGGGTGTAGAATCTGACCTAAATGTTTTGTGCTGTATTACTGCTAAACATTATTAGCTGAATAACGGAACGTATTTGTTCTGACCCATTTCCTAACCAATCTATATCTTAAAGGTATATGGTATACATTTTAGGAAAGAACCGCCCTCTCCACTTTTTGAGCAAAACTTTCTGGTCCTATTTGACGAGCATATATTACTAGAAGGATTGACAATTGGGAGAACCAATAGTCTTAAAGATCCACCCGGAAGTAGAAAATCCCCCTATCTACCTTTGAGCATGTGTCATTATAATCTCAAGTGATGACATCTCTGTTCTTATGCACATTGAGACAAATCATATAAAAAGCTTTGCCACCATGTCTCACAATTATTTTTGTTGAAAGGAAAGGTAAGGAAAGATTATTTGTATAGCACAAGGCAACTCAAAGTGCTGAACAAAACAAGATAGAGACAGTCACACAATGCATTAAAATCATCAAAAAAAATCACAGTACATTCAAAAGAGCAAAGATGGAGAAGACCGTTCCAGATTTTAGCAGCATGAATCAGTCTCCCCATGTTTAGTCCTCACTGTGGGCACCGGCAGGAGGCAGTCCCAGTGCTTCTCAGAGTCCCAGTTGGTTCATATAGTCCGAGTTGGAGACATAACGTTTGGATAGAAAGCAATCAAACAGGAAACCGAGTCACGCTGTTCTGACAAAGACATTTTTAACACTTCATTTACTTTCTATAAGAACTGTACGTTTCATTCCATTAAGTCTCATCCTGAAGAACACCTGTAAGTGCAAAGCTTTTAGCACTTTGGACCCTGCAACGTGCACACCTCTTGTTTTCTTGCTGTTTCTAGTTTTATACTGTACGTAATGTGTGTTGTGGTTCGTTGAAAGAATCCCACCTTCTCTTTGCTCAAATGGACACAGTTATGAATCCAAGTCAGCACCTGTGTTGTGTGCGTACCTGTGTGCGTACCTGTGTGCTCCTCACGTTGCATCGTTAGCAACAACTGTGAGCCCGGCGCTTGTTATGACATCTGTGAGGTAATTGGCTTTCAAACCTACCTGTGGTTCTCTTACTGGAGCAAATTAGAACAAAAAATGTGTGCTAAATGGTGCAAAATATTCTTTTGTGAGTGAGACAAATGCCGGTTTCACAAAGGCAGCTGATTCCGTGACTTTTCGGCAACACACACTGAACGCAGTGGAAAGAGCTGCGGAAGCGAAACAGCGGCTCCTTTTTCATACATGTGAAAAGCTCTAATTACCGGGGTAGAAGCGGTAATGTGATTTAGAGGTCCTGTCACTGTAATATCAGCCCCTTAACCTCACACACACGCGCGCACACACACACACACACACTCACAAAGACGCGCGCACACACACACACACCCACACGCCCGGGAAATCTACACCCAGAGATTGGCTGCACGATTTACTTTTCTAATGAGGTTATTCTGTATGTTTGAGCGCTGCCTCAGGACATGAAAGCGATTGTAATCTGCATTTGGTGTGGCTCTTTGGGATTGGACAGAAGTGGCAAGTAATTATTTATCGCTAATTAGGTACAGTACTTTTCTTGTAGTATCTGCTTTACTGAAAACATTTTACTTTTACTTCTTACTTCTCAAAACAGGTCAGATACTTAAAACGTCAATAATAAACTGACATTAATTCAGTATTTAAGTGTGGTTACCTACTACTTAGAAGCATGGCGAACCATTGGTCAGCCTTGCTTCTAAACTCATGCCAGTAGTATAACAGCCTCATTTTTCTACATGTTGCCAACCAAATAAAAAACAAAACAATTGGTTAGAGCTCACCCTTGCAGCCCCCTGATTGGTCAAAATCTTTTCAAATACTTGAGGCCTGTTCTCATTGGTTTGACGATTGTCCTCCAGCAAATCTTACTGGTCGTATTAATACAAAGGGGAGGGACTATCTAAAATAAAATATTGTTGAACGAAACTTTATATAGGCGTCGTGGTCAGAAATATACATTGTTTTGGTGATAAAATCTAATTCAAGATTTGCTGACAATACCTTTGCGTACTTTAATTTTGCTCCATTATTACTTTTGAGTTGTCTTAAATGAGTGTATCTACTTTAACTATGACTATGTGATTTTCAGAGCAGGGTCAAAAGAAGTTGGGAGAGTATTTAAAACATTTCTGACAATTTTAAGAACAAATTCAGTCAAATACTTTCACTGCAGACAAATTATGAAAAAGTATTATCCGTCAGAATTGTGAAAACTTTTCACCTAAACATCACCCACAATACGTTTCTGTAGAGCTGTTCCAGCAATGTTTCCATGGTCAACATTCTCCAGCCTTTAAATCATACAATTAAAAGTAAGTGGTCCATTTGTGGCTTGTAAGTAGTAATCTTTATTTATATAGCGCCTTTCACAGACCAGAGTCAGACCAGAGGTTTACATTTGTGGGCATTTGTCTCTCACTCCACACAGAGATGGGAGCTGGGTCACCAGTACAGGAGGCATATGCCAGATCTATTATACATGTTTTATTGAAGGGGTAACCGAAGTACCCGGAGGGATCCTTCGCAGACACAGGGAGAACATGCAAACTTCACTCAGAAAGACTCTGTTCCGATGGGGATTTGAACTCAGGAACTTCTGCTATCCACTCAGCCACCGTGCTGCCCAACAGGATGGGAGGGGACATCAGGAGAAGAGCAGGCTTCTCTAGACCAGGGGTTACCCATGAACTCAAAACTTCATTTTGATTGACACTGTCGTAAAAAATTGCCATTTTAATTAAACTGTATTATTAACTATACTTTTATCAGACGCTTCTCCAAACACAATAAAACAAGTAGTCCTATTGAATCAAATCAATTGCAACACAAAAAATATTTCTCCCAACCCCCACTTTGGGAACCACAGCTCTAGACCACCTGCAATAACCCTTTTTCTGTGCTTACTGGATACATTAGCAGCAGCTCCCTGGTTCATGTTGCAGAACAAGCTGTAATAAATAATAATATTTCATTATATTCATAATCGTTTTCTGTGCAGCTGGATGCACATCTGTCTGGGAAACTTCTGGAGGACACATTACTGACATCTTTGCACAAACTTGTAAGTGGAACGCCTTTGTGACCGCATTTGAACACTTCGCACCTGTTGCAGCAGCACCACTTGCAAATATATGTACATATTTGTTTGTCCTTCGCGGAGAGAACCTGAGAGAACTGCAAAAATGTGTGTGTTTATGTGCGTGTCTGTGTGTGTGTTTGTGTGTGTGTGTGTGTGTACTTACAGTGGGTTCCCAGTCACCGAGCAGGTCAGGCTGAGCGAGTCTCCCTCTCTCAGAATACCAGTGGGAGGAATGATTCTGACCGTGGGTGCAACTGTTAAGGAGGAAAGGCGGCATTAATGTGTGTCTGAGCAAAACAAGTCAAAACATCTGGAATATCAGAGCATAAACAATTGAGCTACAACAATTTGGAAATAAAATCTGGCTGTGAATTGTCAGACATTTTACTGTTTCATTTTTTCTGGGGAATTTTTTTGTGGCTCTAGACTACGATCTGCATTTGGATTGTGCTCAAAACACATGCTTGAAATACTGTATGTCCGGATATGAGATAATAATCTATCAAATTAATAGATTATTATTAAAAGACACAGAACTTTTAGATGATAGCATGATTTTTTTTTACGTTTGAGGTTTATTTTTGGCGTTTAACCAATTGCTGGGTTGCAACCATGTGACCAAAAGGGGGCGTGACAAGGTGCCGTAGGACAGGACGTGATTTTATCCCATTAGATAGAATGGGCGATGCGGGAGAACGCGCACATAGGAGCTTTTTGCCGCTTAGTATCACTCTTATTTTGAGTGTAAACTATTTTCAATGCAGTGACGCTGTGTACAATTTGAAGGAGTCCAATATTTTCAACAATGAGGAAAACAAAAAGGATTAAGAAGCTGATGGAGTGACGACAGTGCAGTCACTCTGGGATCCACAGAACCACCCCTAAAGTGCATCCATACCTTTACTTGTTTTAAGTTTGTGACTTCCAATGGCAACACAATAAGTAGATAAAAGACAAGAAGTGTGACTTATGATGTACAATCATTTATTAAGTTGCGCTCATCACAATTTAAGAAATGCAATTAAATATATGTTCATTTCATTTTTTTCATTTCATTTTCAACCCCTTTATTAATCCATTTCTGGGTCGGGGGGGTGGCAATGAGAGCTGCCACCCAATGCTCATAGCACCAGCAATTAATTAATTAATATATATGTATTAATTGCATATATATGTATATGCAATTAAATATATGTATTTTTTTAAATCCCTAATTCGGATCCATCCCACAGTCTCACAGAGAAGGGGAAACAAAAGGACAAAACTAGTGAAGCGTGAGGAAGAAAGACGAATATGGGGTCTTTAACATCTGTTTCTACGGCAACCGACTGACAATCCCACGGCGGAGACACCTGTTATCGGAGCCGTGGAGCCGGAGCAGCTGCGTCAGGAAACCCGGCGCGTTACAACAGTTGGTCACGGTAAAAAATGACAAACTGTTGAACGGCGAAGCTCCATCAACAAACAATAGGGGCGCGCTGTACAAGCTAATCGTAGACTTAGAGGGAGCCATATCAGCGGCAGAAATGTTAGCGGTAATGAGAGGCAAAGTGGGCTCAATATTCACACAGGGAATCCACGCTGTTTAATTTCATAGTGGGTTTTTGGTCTGCATCAGTCAGCAAAGATAACTCAATGTGAATAATTCAACCGTCTGGGATAAGAATTGCGTTAAAGAGGAATTATGTATTAATCGGTGGCCATTTTTATATTAATAATGAATATTTAATCAAGTTATGAGTCAATGTAATCTTGTCTCATCACATTTTTAACACTGGGATAGTGGAGTCCTGAGTCTGATCTCGTAAATGATTTTTTCAATCTCTCGCTACAGTGTAATTTAGTCCAACTGTTATTTGTGGCTTTCAATTCGCCATTTATTTGCATATAACTGAAGTTCCTAATTTTCTTTTATAAGTATATTTTATTTATCCTAACAGACACTAGGACTCCCAGAATTGTATAAATTACTAGAACTCCCAGAGCTGTCAGTTTGTGCACTTTTAATAAGTTCAAAAACTGGTGAATGTAACTTATACTACAGAAAAAAAACAGTTTGTTGAAAGGCTAATGCTAACTGCTAACAAGTTTACAGTGGGTTGCTATGGTTACTAGTGCTTGCTCCTCTCAACTTCTCTACTCCATTTCAAAATTAAAAGATGATTTCAAAAAAATATTTAGACATAGAAATAATCAACATAAAGAAACAGAAAAAGTGAAAAAAATTGACATGAGCCGAGTAATCACACCTCCAAGCCGTCAAATTGACTGCTCGGGGAGTTCTAATGTTTAATACCATTTTGTGAGCAGACCAACAAGCTGTCTTTATCTTTCACATACTTATTGTCTGAAAAAGCTGAAATGAGGCCAAATATATGTGTGATGATGGACAGTTTTGACTGTTCAGAACTAGGATTTTATCACATATAGCTATGTTTTTGTGGTTTCAAAGTACTCCAGCTTAGATTTTTGACTTTGTCCAATTCTTTCATGAAACCAATATGAAGAAGTAACAAAAGATGAGCATAACCTGCAAATACTATGATTTCATATTATCATAAAATGCCTTCATTGCTGCAGGTATGTTTGTCGTATTCCACTAAAATGAAAAAAGCTGCACGCGTGTTTGCAATTTATCAATAACATCTGCTCAAATCAAGATGGATCTCCTCATTTAAACTGATGAATCTTTGTGAAACATCTGGAATTCAAACTTACAGTGGATATAATGGATTTGTTATGCTTTATTTGGTTGTTCAGTATGTCCACAATAATGTTTTTCTTCGCTGTTCATATTGACTATCTTTTATATTGCTTCACTCTACTGTATATGATCATTTGCCTCAAAACACCGGACTCCCAGAATTCTAAAACTAAAGAACTCCCAGATCAGATACAAATCAATGTAAATAAGTTTTCACAACTTTTATTAAAATTAAGCTATTTATATTTTTTCAAAATCTTTAATAATTGAATTTAACTTGAAATACTGCAACAACTGTTTGTTGAGAGGCTTCTAAATGCCTACTTCTGTCCAAGACCAGTCTAGAATCATCACCTTAAGAAAAAGTTGTTTACATTCAAATTAATGGAGAAGTTAGAAATACTCACAAAGTAAGTAATTATTCATCCATCCATTTTCTACCCCTTAATCCATTACTGGGTAGGGGGGGTGACCAGAGATGCCACCCAGTACACAAAGCACCAGCCCATAGTAAGATTAAAGATTTTAAAATGTCCATAAACCTTGTAATTACGCTTCCAAAACGTAAAGCTGTCATATTGACTGCTTTGGGAGCTCTAGTGTTACATCATTTATGAAGAAAAAACAGTCTAGATCAATGATGACAACATGCCCCCAGCAGAGTCTGAGAGCTCTGTTCCATTCTTTAACCAATGCTCTGGACTCTAACCTATTCTGGCCTGATTCCCCGCATGACAAGATTTGTATGTATTAGCTTTTAATGAGAGGAAATCACACGCTGCGCTGCTCTGAATACGCTCTGTTAAAAGCCGCTTTCTGAAATGACATATCTGCGGTTTGAAAAATGAGACCGTTCCCTTGACGAAATTATAGCTGGTGTTTAAAGCGAGCAGTGGCAGCAATATAGGTGGAATAATCTGTAGATGAGAGGATGGTATTTGTCCTGGATCTATAGGCGGATCCAGGCGGTTTCCCTTTGTGTTTTTTTTTAATGTCGTCCCTTGCCGATAGAGGAGGGTCTAAAGACAGTGATGATCCAGGAATTTTAAGAATATTTATAAACATTTATTAAATATTGGCCCTTTATGGACCAATGTGTTTTTTTATCATTGCATTTCATGTGTTCAAACTGTCTGATTCTCTGATCTCTGTTGGTGAATTGCCAGCTTTGTAAAGTCCTCCAATTCAGGACTATACAAAAGAAATTGAATTGAATAATGGACATTGGTCATCCTCCTCCCTATCCAACATGAACGGCTTCTATGTGCTTGTAATTATTGCGTTTCTTGTGTTCAAACTTAATGGTCCTCTGATCTGTTGTTGGCAAATCCACAACCTCGTAAAGTCCTAAAAAAACTAGTTGACAAAGTGAATTGAGTGTGGCGTACAGTAAACGTCCAGGCGGTAGTGGCGGATCCTCTTGGGGCCCTCCAGCGCTGGGTGGTCGGCCTCGCAGCTCAGGGCGGCTCCGTTGTCTTTCCTCTCCACAGGGATCCTGATGGTGCTGGACACGCTGAAGACCTTCCCGTGGTCTTGCTGGAGGACCACACCTGAACACACGACACACATACGAGTTAGATGGTTACCGAGGTCTGGCGTAAAGGTTTGGTGAGATTATTGAACAGTGGATAATAACACACGAGCCCAAAAGAGAGATGCACTGTGCCAGGTTACAGCCGCTAGTCCCAACCATAGACATTAATGGATAATGTATATTAACGGACGTACCTATCTCCGCTGTTCTAACTAATGGGCCAAAAATTGGACTTTCATGGAGTGATTACAAAAATGGCCGTGGGGGCTGGATAATGTGAAAAAACACAACTGCGCATGCGTCAGCTGCACGAGCCCCATTCATTTAAACGAGTGCCTTCAAAAATTCATAGCAACTAAACTAGACTGGTCCAAAGAAATTAACTCCCCTCAGCATTGACACACATGTGGAACGGAGCTTTGGGCCAAGAGCCGACTTTTGGACCATCTGTAAAGACGTTTTCGAGAGGTAAGAAGATACTATATGTTAGCATTGCCGAATTCTTATTCCGGGTCCACCCCATCAGCCAGGGGTGGTATTGCAAGCATGTCAGCGCACGTCATTTTGGCCACTTTTGAGCCGGGACCCGCCCCCACTGGTCCCAACGTGTTCAAAACAGAAATATGTAAATGTATCTTCATTTTGTAGAGTAAAAGTGAAATGTTGTGAACAAATCAGACCAAAAGACACCATCCTCTCTCTCTCTCTCTCTAGTTATCTATTGCATATTATTTGCCACTTTGAGCTGATTGGCTGAGTAACTGGTCGCCTCTTTCACTTTTCTGTGCGGAGGATTTTCCCAAATTTTAGGAAAGAACCGCCCTCTCCACATTTGGAAAAAAACTGTCAGGCCTTGGTTGATGAGTATGGATCACCAGAATGTTTGACAATTTGTCTTGATGGACCAATAGTCTTGATGATCCACCCGGAAGTAGAAAATCCTCGTATATACAGTACCTTTAAGATGTGACGGATGTAAAAAATACATGCATGTGAATACTAGTGAAAAGATACAGCACCGCGTAGGGTCAACACATTAAAACCTTTGAAACAAAATAAATACATACACACAGCAACTAAGTATATGTCTCTTCCTGGATCACGTCTCCTTATAAATATATACTGTAAATATATACAGTATATATATGAGGTGTGATGTCACCATGAATCCCAGAATCAGGGTTCTAGTTGGTCAATCCACAGACCTCTCCTCCAATACTGCAGCCAATAGAAGACCAAAGTCCCAGAGAGTATGGCGTGAGAGACCCCAGGGAGTGACCCCCCGGTGGCTACAAAGGACAGGCTCCTTCAACTGAGCTTCAATAGCACATAGGGTTATAAAACTTAAGCTCATGTATATTTCCTGTTTCTCATTGGCAATATGAAAAATATATATGCTTCATCTTTTCACCAGTATGAGCTGTACGACCTTCATATAAACACTGTTCTGTAAAGAGCTAATTGAATCAGCTTTGTGTTGGTAAAGTTATTAAATATGTTTGACTACTCAGTGCATTAAAGGGAACATATTTTGATCTTGTGATGGCTTTGAAGGTTCACTTGTCATTCTCTCACCCAGAGATTCATTTGAAAAGATTCCTGGATGTTTGAATTACTCTAAACTGCATTTAAAGCATCAATACGTTATTCACATCCACTATTCCAACATTTAACTAAGTAATCTTTATTTATATAGCGCCTCTCACAGACCAGAGTCACAAAGCACTTTACAACTGTTGTGGGGATTTGTCTTTCACTCCACACAGACTCCCCACAGAGATGGGAGCGAGGTCACCACACAGGAGGAGCATGCCAATCCTATTGTACATGTTTCCAGTGATATAGGATAAACCGGAGCACCCGTAGGAAACCTATGCAGACACGGAGAGTATATGCAAACTCCACTCAGACCAGGATTCGAACCCAGGACCTTCCTGCTGAGAAGTGAGAGTGCTAACCACTCAGCAACCGTGCCGCCCGTTTAAACATTTCTTTCCTTTGTTTAAACATGTACGTACATTGAAGTTTGTGCTGCCTGCGATAAGATGAGGAGAGCGTAATAAATGTTCTTATTCTTATTTTTTATCATACATTTTTTTTGAGCATATGGTTTGAATGACTCACAATCTGTGGTCACACAACAAGACATGGGACGCAACAATGGGCCAGACGAATATAAATGATGTTGACAAATTGTTACAGTTAATGTTCAAATTTATCAAGTGATTTGTGGAACTTGAGCTTCACAGCGAGAAAGTCCTGGGTTCGATTCCACCTCCACGCCTTTATGTGTGGAGTTTGCATGTTCTCCTCGTGTCTGCGTAGGTTTCCTCTGGTTTCCCCTATCTCTAAAAACATTCACAATAGGTCTGAATGTAAAGAGTGGGTGAACGGATGGGGTTGGTCGGAGGCTTTGATGCTCCAATGTGTTCGGCAGAGAGTGGAAAATGATATGAAAGCTCTACAATTGTAAAGCGCTTTGGGTGACCTTAGTCTGTAAAATGCTCTTTATGAATGAACATTACTTACATTACTTCCTTACCACTTGTTCCATGCATCCTCACCACTACTTATGGCACCTCAAAATGTTTTTACATATTTGCTGTTGGATTACTGAGAAAGACACACAGTGAGGCTGGAGCCAGACAAACCTTAATTCAATTCAAAGACATTTCTTAAGATGTTTTTCTTCCCAAATGGATCAAAATGTACTGCTTCAAAGGTAAATAAAAAAAAAAACTATGAGAATCAGCAGCCGGCTAAACACATATACACAACAGTACAGCCACTTGATGGTTTACATGTTGTCTCCAGCTTTATTTGTAAATGGAGGATTACAGCTTAGCTCAAACTAGCATCTAAACTGGACCTCAAAATGGAACTGAAGGTACAGGTTTATTCCAAACTAATGCGACAGGACATATATAAGACCTGGATTTGACACAACACCACACATGCAACTGGAACAGAGTTGTGTGTAGACTTCTTTTATGAGTGAAGACAAAAACATTCAATAAATAAAACATTTTGAAATATGATCAACCAACCATGAATAAATCCCACTGTAGGTCATGTTCTGAAAAAATTGCCGGTAAGCAGTGACTTTAATCAAGGCTTTCAAATCATTCTGGGCTAATAACAAACTCCAAACAGTGAATGTAAGTAACATGATTATACATGTGGTACCCTTGAGTTGCGTGGGAGATTCAGATTCAGATAATTTGCCATTTGCAGTAAAAACACATTGGAACAACTATACAAGAGTACCCCAGAGTATACCGGACAGAGACTCAGAAACTCCAAATCAAAATAATTATTCATCTCACAACAGAACACAGAGGCCAGTACCATATATCACCCTTCTTTCAACCGCTCCATCAATAAAATAGTCAAGTTAAAAGTAAAAATATACAGCCTGTATCAGTAATAATATGAATGCATAAACCGAAGCAGTGTAATCTTTCATACATAGAGTTTAAGCGAGGGGAGAGGAAGGGGGAGGGCAGGGGAGCTTTGGTAAATAGAAATAAGATGGATGCATGTGGCTGATGAATGAGCTTTTATGGTGGAAGTCCCTGTAGTGAGAGTGAGTCTATGAACCACGCAATTTGCATCTATATTTCATGGCAATTATGAGCCCGAGGCTGTTTGTTTGCGCTGGTAAATCAACAGTTTTTGTTTTCTTTTTTTCAAGCCACAGTGAAGGAAATCAGGCAGATTAAAGTATTTTGTAAATGTATTTCTGGTTGCTCATTTATTCCCTAGAAGATTGGCCGGCAGCTGTTCCGAGGACACGACAAGAGCTCGGCCATTGGAGCGTACTCATGGACAGGAAGATGTTACGCATAATAGAAAGTTCCAAATCAAAACTGTTAGTGATTAAGCAACATTTCTTGTCCTAATTTTTTGTGAATTATACAATATTTTATTATTATTATCCTTATTATAGTCAGGGGTTTTTGTACATATAAGGTATATAAACGTAAATAAGTAGTAAATAAGTAGTATAAGTCTGAGGAACTCTAATAATGCAATGGATTAGACTCTGGTCAGTCCCAAGTTCTGCTCACTGCTGTTCACCTCCAAAATACGGACTTACTGGAGGTCAAGCCTTTATAATGTACAGAAGCTGTAATGTTTTCCTTTTGGTTTTCCTGTATATATCTATTTTTCAATATGCAATACACTATGTATTGAGACAAAAAAATGAGCCATAAGAATGCATTGGATAATTCTGTTTCCGGGTACACCCCCACCGTCAAGGAGCCAGATTACAAGCATGTCAGCGCAGGTGTTCATGGACCCTTTTGAGTCGGGACCCCACTATTTCATCACAAGACAAAACCATGATAGCTCCCCTTGTCATCTGCCACTTTACTAGTAGATAAGTTTGGTTTTAAATTCAGATAACCAAAACATTAAGTGGAAAAGTACTGACTACTACATTTACTGTTGTGATGACTAGCTCAGTTTGCGCAATTTGCACAAAAAGTCTCATTAAAAGGTGCATAGTGGGTTTCCTCCTGGCGCTCCAGTTTCTAATGAAGTGACCTGAACCTAATCCTAACCCTAATAATCAGTTGTATTTGGTCTAAAGCAAACTGCTCCCTGCAAATCACTGCTTTGCGTATTTATAGCTCAAAACAAAAACTTTTGAAAAATGATAATACTCCATGACAAAGATTACGAACAAACTCGCGCCTCTGCAAATCTGAATTGGCCTGGTGCCATATGGTCTCCATGGAGACAGATGGCACGTCTGTAAATGTCTGATATGAATTTCAAAGCCTTTTCAACTAATTTTATACATAATAGCGCAGCAACGTATGGTTCAGAAATGGCAGATTATTACATTGTACGTAACAGTGACAAGTTTCCGGTTCAGAAGCAAACAGAAACTAAAGTCAGTCATTTAAGAGCACCTGCATTATTTCTTTGCAGTTTTTCTGGCTGATGCAATCACTTACTGGCCTCGGTTTTGGGGGAATAAAAAGACAAACCTGGACAAAACCCTCTGAGAATTAAAAACTGGGACCTGCGACAGAGGGACAGACCTGGGGAAGCAAGTTGATTGATGCAGAGCTGTTGCAAAGAGCGGCCCAGACATGAAAGAACCCGATAAGACGGCTACAAAGATGGCAACGGCAGAGGAGGAAGTGAGTTTGGCCGCGGAACACAGAGAGGAGGGAGGGTGGTGTGTGACACGGAACAGCTAACAAACAGCACCAAACACCGGCACACGCACAGACAGAGGGAGGGACGCTGGTTGAAGCAGAATACAACCATATTACTCATATAGTTTTCAATTATGGCCCAGAGCACAATGAAAAGATGATGGAAAGTGAGGAGGAGGAGGAGAAGCAGAAGGCGGTGGAAGAGGAGAGGGAAGATAGCGTCTTAATTATACTGCCTTATCTGGCAGTATATCAGCGGCTAACCTTTAGTGTCACAGTTCATTTAAGTCTAAGACAAGATGAAGAGAAGAGACAGGATAATGCCCAACGTAAACACCAGCCATTTGTGCCTCCAGCGGCCCAGAACTGAGCTCAGAGAAAGACGGTATTTTGTTAAACAAGATGGGAGATGGCAGAGAAACGACGCAGAGTGATGAGGCATCAAAACAAGGACGAAAAATAAATAAATTACAAACTATTATAAAGTGTGAGGAGGTGGTTTTAGCCAAGGGCATAACACTCAAGATAATGCACACTTAAACTGAGGTACTTGATTCTTATTTTACAAAAGGAAACTATTTGTCTATTTTTATCACGGTCTAGTTTCTTGTTCTTGCATTCTTTTTTTTATATTGATGTGTGAATTTTGGCCTTTCAGAGCATAAAGCACAGGTGTCGATCCGGTTCTCAAAAGGACGGTGTGGCAGCAAGTTTTTGTTCCTAAGCAGGATATTAAAATTCAATTAATTTGCAGTAAAACCACATTGGATTACATTTGCTAAAGTCCCCAGTTTGCACAAGACTTGAATGAAACAAGCTAAAAACTACAAGAACAAATGTCACTGTGAAACTGATAAACAAAAACTTAGCAACTTAGGAATGTCCTGCATCTCAGTGGACAATGTCTTCTGCCCCACAGAGAGTTTTAACCTCAAGATTTGAGAAAATGGGTGGAGTCTGGTGTGCTCCTGTTAAGGTTGGAACTACAACCTGCAGCTACATCTACCCTTTCTAAGACCACTTTGAGATCACTGGAGGGAGATCTTACCAGAAGTCCTGCCTCTGGTTTTGCACAGGGCAACTCCATTATTTTTTTCCGTTCCTCTCTAGTCTTTTGTCTCAGATGGCGCCGTGGCAAGAGCTCTGGTGTGTGCCGTCTGGTGCACACTGGGGTAGTCTTGCACAGTTTTTCCAATGTGGTTTTACTGCAAATGGCAAATAAATGAATCTGAATCTGAATCTGAATCATGTTATTCCGGACTTCTACCATCTTTCACATGTTCTTAGCAACCCACAAGGAAGTTTTTTTTTATGCATAGACTTTTGCCAAAATCAGAGCCTGTGTGGAAAATTAACCACAGAGAGACAGGATTGTCTCCTGGAAGTTTATTCAGTTTCCTTCAGGTTTCAGTTCTTTCAGTTGTTTCAGTTTTTTCAGACAGAATAAAGTCAGGACATGGTTTATATAGTCATTGTTACGTCACAGATATGTCACACATCGAAAGACATACGAATCATCAGAACATATCAGAGTCATAACATGGATACACAACGGACTCCTTGTGACTGCGAGGGCCAGATATTTTGTCTTGCGTTTGTCCACCTGCGTAGGCCATAGTTATCTATCCACCATACCTGCTTTCGCTGCTAACTGGACCTGGCGATCCACTGCTCATGTGCGGCTGGCTAAAGGAGACGCTTGTTTCGGGGCTGAGCACAAGGATGGACGATTATTTATTATTTTACACTTTACATTCTTAATTGGTAGAAACATCTCCCTAAATACATTTAAGTACAGGGTTAATCATTCCCACACAAACTCCATGACTCGCAGGACTTGAGTTTACAAGTTTGCAAAAGTACAATGTTTTGATCTATGCTATAACAACAACAAAAAAACATGTTTCAAACTATTTTTAATCTAAATAACAATGATTGAGACGTTTCCTGACCAAAACAGATATTTGTGTGTTTG